TTCTGTAATTCAATGTCAGGCCGGCTGCATAGATTAGGTGAGCCAGAACTGGGAACACTTTCTATAAGACCTGATGTACTCATTTCATAAGACTGGTCAATTGTAATGATGAGACTCCTCTCTAAATGTAAACACTCTTACTGTGCACTTTTTATTTTTTTTTATTCACGTTTTAGAACTTTGAAATGGGTTCCAAGGTGCATTTTTCATCGTGCAAAGTTTGCACTCTTCAAAGCTGCAAAACTCTGTCGTGCAAATGAATGGCCAGAATGCATCAAGTTCTGTTTTCAGTTCAAACGCTTTCATCCAAGCGGCCCCTAATTTATTAACTAATGATCTTTGCAATGGAAGTGAATCATGCTGAACCATAATTTTAACATGGTTTTGGCTTTACAGCAGCTCTAGAATACTTTCATTTCCGGTCACTGTAAATCTGCTTTGAAACTAACCTGTGTTAAAAGTTCTATATAATGAAGTTGAGTTGACTAGAGCTCAATACTGATCCATTCTTTTCGGTCTGCAGGAAACATTCTTTCTGAAGACGTTACTCTGACGTTTCCAAAAAACGTTGTTCAAGGATCTGTCAGATGCTCAGTTTCGGTCCTTGGTAAAATGTGTCATTCAGTAGAAGCTGCTGGGTAATATTAGCACTATGTTTCTGATGTGGGTTTTATGCTTGACCTTTTGTAGGGGACATAATGGGTCGTGCACTGAAGAATCTGGATCGGTTATTACAGATGCCGTATGGCTGTGGAGAACAGAACATGATCGTTCTTGCTCCCAACATTTACATCCTACTGTACCTTGAAGTAACGGGACAACTAACCGCACCCATCCGAGAGACTGCCACAGGCTTCCTTAAAAGTGGTATGGAAAATCTACTTTATATGTGGGAGACTAAATTCCAAGAAAGTTTAGTCCTTCTCTTCCCTTTGGAGTGCCAGACTGTCTAAATTCCTGAACGTTTTACATGTGGATTTTGACTTATTAGGATACCAAAGACAACTGAACTACAGACACAACGATGGTTCATACAGCACCTTTGGTAATGATGAATCAAATACATGGTGAGTTTCACACTGTTCTTCTGTTGTGTGTAATCTGTGGCACCAATTTTTTTTTTAAGTTCAGTTTGTGACCTCTTTTCCTTGGCCAGGTTGACCGCCTTTGTCATGAGGTCTTTTGGTCTAGCGAGGCAGTTTATCTTCATTGATCCACATGTCCTGCAGAGTGCAAAGGATTGGTTGATCAGCAAACAGGGTTCAGATGGTTGTTTCATTCAGCAGGGAACTCTGTACCATAGTGAAATGAAGGTGCATCTAATGTTTGTGAAACTATGCTAATGGCCAACTGACATGGTGTGTGACCTTTCTTAATGATTTGTGTTTGTATGGTTTTAGGGTGGAGTTGGTGATGGTGTGACCATGACTGCCTACATTGTTGCATCACTGCTTGAACTAGGTGTCCCCACCATGGTAAAAACATCTGCTGTAGTTCTGAGTTCCTTAAGCATCCAGATGACCTTCCTGTTCAGGCTGTCTAATGTTTGATTGGTGTATCAGGATCCGGTAATTACCAATGGTCTGTCATGCTTGAGGCCTGTCGTTGGGAACCTGGTAAACACTTATGTAACTGCTCTGCTCGCCTACACCTTCAGTCTGGCTGGAGAGACCACCACTCGATCACAGCTTTTAACTTCCTTGGACAACCTTGCCATTTCTAATGGTGAGATGTATATATACCAGCCTCTTGTTGTTCATCAGGGTCATTGGCTTTAACTCCCCTCTCCCTCTTTATCTAAGGTACTAATCTCCATTGGTCTCAGACGACATCTGGTGATACTCTGGCGGTGGAGATCAGCTCTTACGTGCTGCTTGCGGTTCTCGCTGTTCAGCCACTCACAACAGCTGATCTGGGCTATGCTAACCGCATTGTCAACTGGCTCGTGACCCAGCAGAATCCCTATGGAGGCTTCTCATCCACCCAGGTGCCTGTGACTACCAGACATGAGTACAATCATTTAAGGATTTTTAATCTTGCTTGTGCTTGTTTTTAGGACACAGTGGTGGCTCTTCATGCCCTCTCTGTGTACGCTGCTCAAGTGTTCAGCTTGGACGGCTCCAGCTCTGTTACCGTACAGTCCTCAGGAGGTGACTCTTATAGCTTCAAAGTGAATCGGGACAACAGGCTGCTGTATCAGGAGAAGCGGCTGAAGAACGTTCCTGGCAAATATACTGTTAAAGTGTCAGGATCCACTTGTGTGTCTGTGCAGGTCCGTATCTTCACCCTATGATTCTGTTGTGCATGTCCAAATCTTACTGTGCTTTGTTTGCTATGCACTTATGCTGTAGGTTGCGTGTTTCTACAACATCCCAACACCCGTTAAATCTGCCAAAACGTTGAGTGTCAAAGCAAATGTGAATGGAGACTGCCAACAACTCGGCGCCAATCTCATGTTAAACTTCACAGTGAAGTAAGAACGGCTCTGAATTTGTGTCCTGAAACCAGCTAATGTTTAACAAAGGGAAGCCGTGTTCTTGATCCTGTTGACTAAACCTCAATTTTTCCCTCACCACCCTCATTCAGATACGATGGTGTAAAAGCAAGCACTAACATGGTTGTGGTTGATATTAAGCTCCTGTCGGGGTTCACGGCAGATAAGTCACTGGTTCGTATGTGTTAAAGATTTAGAAAGTCCTAAGATGCTTGATGCTCCATCAGTTGTAATTGTCAAACAATGGTCTCTTCCCCTCAGCTTGAATTATTTGACCCGATAATTGAGCGAGTTGATATTGAAGATGATCATGTCCTGGTGTATCTAAAAGAGGTGAGACTGTGTACTTGGGTATATTACTAGCTGCCATCTTCTTGAGAGCTGTGTGCATCTCTGCTGTTCATCCTTTGGTCTCGCAGGTTCCCAAAGGCGTCCCCATGAGTTACACTCTGCAGCTGAATCAGGTTCTTAAAGTGAACAATCTCAAGCCAGCGGTCATACATGTGTATGACTACTATCAGACAAGTATGCTTTCTTCCTAATCATTAATTTCTCTGGCTAAACTCGGTAAATATAATACAAGTCATTCTGTTCCCCTTCAGGTGATTCATTTGAGACCACCTACACGTCCCCCTGTCCATGATCTGATTGACTCATGACTTAAATAAAACCGCTTTTATTCAATCAGTTCTCTTGTTGCCAGTTTTGTTTGTTCATGAGTTAATATTCATCCTGTGATTACAAATGCTTGTAACATGATGGAAATAGTTAAATAAAAAAATAAAATGCGGCTTTATTTTGCTTGCAAGCATCCATTCATCAAGGACTGTTGCAGATGTAAATAACCTACAACCATGGCAATTTTACTTCTAAATGAAGGCATTCCATTACGCAGTAGACTAAGATCCAATGTCGACAGTTTTACTATAAAAAAGAAAGCATTAGCTTAACCTTAATTCATCTTGTTCATTAAACAAAAGTTTTATACAGACTACGCATGCTTTCTACTTTAATTTCTGTACCTGAAAATTGTTATGTTTCACTATTTAAGCCAGGGCAATAAAAATGAATAACTCTAGTGTCTTATTACAACTAACATTACAAAATGATGTTTAAACTTGCTCTGCTCTTACATGGATGATACTCTGCAGAGTTGTCTGTTTTTATGGTCTTAGTTCTTAATGCCAAACATGTGCTTAGATGAGCTAATGTAGGAAAAAGAAAAATTTAATGTATTAAGTTTTACATTAAATGTAAAAAATTAATTATATATATATGCATATCCTCAATCTATCTTATGCTTGTGAATATGAAATATATGGGCCTTTACTAAAATAAAATGCATGTGAAATTGAAGCAATTCAATTGGAGGTGACTAACACTTCATACACTCATAACAATACTAGGTTAGCTATGGTTATTACATGATATGTTTGGACTGAAAATAAAACTGTTTGTATACTGTGGGCTACACTGAAAAAGTGTATTGTTGATTTTTCACTTGTTCCAAGAAAGAAACCATGTTAAACATGATTTTTTTTTTAATTTAAATTGAGATGTTTTCACTTTTTTCCAAGTAGCAAAGTTGCATTCAAATGTCATGTTTTTGACATTTTTAAATCCCACATAGCAAGCAACCATCAAATCAATGTTAATGGGTCAACATAAGTAATTTCATTTTACAAAGTCATCATTTTTTGAATGACATTTGGTTGTGTGTGTGTATGACCTAATATGTGCTAATGACTCTTTTTTTTGTTCTCCACAAAAATAAATGGATTGGCTAAAGGAGATGTCTTATAATAATAATAATAATATTTTTTATATATATATATATAAATAATTTGAAATTTATAAATGACGAGACACCAAATAGGGTATTTATCTGCACTGATGACGGCAGCGATGATGAAGTATCGGCAACGGGTTGTTTTAGCACTTTATCCTCAGGCAATGGAAAAGTCTAGCCATGCCAGACCTACATCAAGATGTTAGGTTTGGGAATTCATCATTGATGGGGCTCAATCCGAGGGGCGGGATAAACGGTAGAAGGTCTCCGACCATCGCAACTCTGTCCTCATTATGTTAAGCCCACCCGCCGACTCTATACAAGATGTGATTGGCCCGTCCTAAGTTGGGTTTTTACAGCTAAAACGTCTAATGAGAGTTGCTAGACCACACTGGCAGCGAAATGATTTTTGCTGCCGCTAGAGTGTGTCTAGATTTCTAGGCTAGGAAAAGTCTTGAGGGTGGAGCAATTCAAAAGGATTAAATAATTTCTTTATTTCTTTATTTCCGAGGATAGCTACCTGAGATGAACCATCTCATTTTCGAGGGTGTCCCTACAGTACAAATAAACCAACATCATAATAGAAAATCATAATTAAAAGAAATAAAACACAGGAACAAACATTTAAATACATTCATATACATATACATATATATATATACAGTACTGTGCAGAAGTCTTAGGTCGTTTTCTGTGATAAAAAACGGGGTTTTCGTGTAAACGAGGGCAAAACGCAGAGAAATATCTGTGTTTTCCCATCGTGTAAACGGGGCCTGAATCAATACCAGATAGAACTCCTAATTAGCAGACTAAATTAATTCCAGGTGATGGTTAATCAATTAAATTAACTAAACGAACGTGTTTTCTGACAATTGAGAGTTTAAATATCCCTTGCCTTCAGTGCAGATGATTGAGAGAAGCAGCCACTACAAACAGTGGTAGACTATCACAAGAGAAGTCCTCTGAAAAACACTTTTGATTTGGGTTTGGTTTTGGATGATTTTTCCTCATGGCTGTGAGGGAGACTAGTTTTTGGAAAGGGTTCATTTTAGCCCTTTTCCTCTTTGCTGTTGATGGACAGAAACCAGGGCCGTAAGTGCTGTTATGTGGGGATTAACTCAACTTTATAGATGGTGACAATGAGCTTTGTGGACTTATTGAAGCATTGCAAAAGAGCACTACTCTTCATTTGATGTTATCCAGTGATAAAATGGATGTTTTGTGGTTTCTGAAACTATACTCTTTATATTTTTCCACAGGTTATTCATGGTGACGTTCCCTGCACTGATTGAGTCTGGATCTGAGGCCAAATTATGCATTACTCTTCTGAAACCCCAAGAGAACCTCACAATTACAGTGTCTCTGATGGATGAGAAAAACAAGACGACTCAACTCGTGCAGCGGGCTTCTTCAACGTCATTTCACCGTTGTTTCAGCTTCCAGGTCTTTCATGACTTTTGAGCATTTGTTTATTTTGTTGGTCTGGTTTGGTATCTCCACATGAATTTCTGAGTTTCTCCACAGGCTCCTCGAGTAGATGGAGATTTGGTGCAGAAGCTAAAGGTGGACGTTCAAGGGAAGGTGTTCAGAGCGTCTGAAGAGAGGAAAGTCATGTTTCGACGTTACTTACCTTTGACCTTCATCCAAACAGACAAACCCATCTACAATCCAGGACAAACTGGTGAGCTGTGAATGTCCCTTCGTTTAGAGGTGTAGAAAGTCCAAGACGCTACAAGTTTCGATCATCTTCAAGTGCGTTGATGTAGTTTATTGGTGTCTTTGCAGTGAACTTCAGAGTTGTCACTATGGATACCAGATTTGTGCCTTTTGATCAGATGGTAGGCTCAGATGTTTCAGCATATTGAGTTTTCTAGCCATAAAAAAAACTGCAAATTTAATGCAGATTATTTTATGGCACTATTTTGCACATTTTCAGGCATCAGTGTGTTTTATAAATGTTTAATATTCCTGTCTTTGTCTTTCAGTACAATCTGGTGGTGGTGGAGGTGAGAATTTGCTCTGTTCAAGTCTTTGAATGGAGCCAATGCAGCTTTTTATATATTGCTTTGTTTGTGGTTTTTCCTCTGAGCTGATAATTGTTTTTTTAGGACAATAATAATAACCGGATTGGTCAGTGGACCAACATTTCCTCAGCGGGTTGGATATTGCAGCTTTCTCATGAGTTGAACCCAGAGGCTCGGATGGGCATGTACACACTAAAGGCTTTTATTGGTGAACGCACAATCTCCCATGTTTTTGAGGTGAAAAAATATGGTAAGTCATTGTGTATAAATTGTGAAGCAGTTCAATGACAGATCTGAGGTCTTGATCCAAGTCATTTGGTTTCTGGTTAAGTTTTGCCCAAGTTTGATGTGACCGTAAACACACCACAGACGTACAGTGTTGGAGATGAGGGACTGAAAGTTGAGGCTTGTGCCAAGTAAGTTAAGCTTTATTTTCTTGTCATTTGGTTGGTCCGTTCTTGATCTTGTTGCTTATGATGTTTCTCAGATACACATATGGCCAACCTGTGCTTGGTCAAGCATTGGTGGAAGTGTGCCGTGAGCCGTATCCATATGTTGGGGTTCCTGATTTGACCCGTCGTTGCCTGAATAAAACTGCGAAGGTTTGGCTCCTGTCTTAAAGTGGAAGGTTTTTCTTTTGCTTGTGCTTGACTTCTTGACTTAAATGTGATTTTTCTCCTTTGTTCTGCTACCAGATGAATGACACTGGCTGTGCATCCCTTGCCATTGATACATCCGTGTTTTTCAACACTAAATTTGAAACTAATATGCAAGATACCTTTCTTGTAAATGTGAACGTCACTGAGGTGGGAACAGGTGAGCTATTGGCAATTTAAGCCGAACCCATGGAAATTTAAAGTTTTTATTTTACTCACTGTATCCCTCCAACACTCTCCACCCCACCCCCCAGATGTAGTGATGTCAAAATCTGCAACAGTGTCCATTACGTTTGAAGTTGGCAAAGTCATGTTAGTGGACCTCCCAGATTACTTTGAAGCAGGATCAATGATTAATGGAAAGGCAAGTAAATGTATTTTCCTTGTTGCAGAAGCCTTCACATTTCTTAACCTTGATCATTCCCAACAGATATCGGTGTCTCGTTTCAATGGTACTCCAATTGCAAACAAAGTGGTTTATCTCCTGGATGGCAACAGCTGGCCCAATAAACTGCTGCAGAATATGACCACAAACCAGAAAGGACTGGCCACATTCTCACTCAACACTGCCAATCTTCCTAAAGCTGCTCTTAATCTTGTGGTACGATTTACTCTGTTTTGTGAAATGTGGACTTCTCCCAATCTTTTGCATGAAACTAATTCCTTTCATTCCCCAGGCAAGTGTGACTCCAGAGGTTGTTTATGGTTACAAATCGCCGTACTTCACTACAGATTCAAGGGTTATTCAGCTTCTCCAATCTGCTTCTCCTGACACCCCATCATTTAGTGAACTGACTATAGTGAAGCTCCAGCAGCCGCTCAAATGTGGTGCTGTTGTTCCAGTGACCGTGAAGTATTCTTTTGTTGGAGAGGCTGGTGATTACAGCACTGACATCGTCTATATGGTGATTGAACTTAAATTTATTTGTATTTTCCCCACTGTCCATTTGTTTAACTTTATGCATTAATTTATCTTAGGTCATGTCCAGAGGAGTGAACGTTCTCCATGGATTTCAGACAGTCACAGCGACAGCTTCTACAGTCATGAGTGGCTCGGTGTCGTTCCAACTGTCTGTCAGTGTCGATATGGCTCCAGTAGTGCAGATTCTGGTCTACTGCGTTCTGCCAAGTGAGAATGTGGTTGTTGGTAGTGCATCATTTGACACAGAAACGTGTTTCCAAAACCAGGTATGATGTCACCATTCTTCACAAAGAAAAAACCCAGTGCACATGTCCTACAGTGTGTTCGTTCTTGTTCCAGGCGTCTCTACGGTTCTCTCCTGCTAAGGCTGTTCCTGCTGAGGAGAATGTTCTGACGGTCTCTGCTCAAGCAGGATCTCTGTGTGGCATCAGTGCTGTAGACCAGAGCATCCGGATCATGGAGCCAGGAAGACGTCTGAGTGCTGAAATGGTACCCTGTGCCTAAATTAGACTTATTTTGTAGCAAATTTTCTTATGAAAAATATTAATTCTGAATATTTGGATTAGTTAATATAATTAACTTGATATGCTAATTTAATATTTGGAAATTGACCCCTTTTTCCCATGAACACATTAATATCTCGCCCATATGAATAACTGTCCTTGTGCAATGGGCTCTATGCACGGCGTTATTTCCGGTGAAGGATTAAGGATGCTCTAACTTCCGCCGATCATAGTCCAATGCAATACCGAGAATTTATATTGAATTTTATACTCCATGGTTATACTAATGAAACGTTAGTCACAAAAACAGATAAAACAGACACCCCTCGTTGTGTTTATGCTTCTTTTAAAAATTATATTAAATAAACATAACTATATATAAAATTACATCTAAACGTATGTACGTTTCGTTTCAAAGACGGGAGGACAGTAAATATTGAAGACTCTGCCATAATCCCGTTTTCTCCGGTTTTCCTCCGCTTTAATCTACACAACCGGAAATGGACGAGCATCCTTGCGTCAAATGCGGAACTTATGCGTGCATATAGCCCATTTGAGGCTCCAGTTGATCTTTGTTTTGAGACACTGAACCAGTGGGAGTCAGAATCTTTGAATGAGAGAAGGCCACAGCCTGGCACAAGCTTTGGGGTCCTTAAAACATCTGGTTTGGAATCTTCACGCTTTGAAATAGGAACTTCATAGTCCCTTTCTGAGAAATCCTGATGTGAAGATATCATCCTCTTTGTTCCCTTGTGAGGGAATTCATTACGATCCTTTGTTCTAGGCAGGCTATTGAACACATGATTTGATTGTGATTCATTTATATAAGAATCGTGATTTCTGAAACACCTTAAGCAAAATTTAAGATGACAAATGGGGGATGAAGATTATGGAATTTAAAGGGTATATTTCTCCTCTGATAAGACTTATGACCCAGAGGAAATTTGCAGTCCTATAACCGTTAGCTTCATTTGGGATGTTAGTTTTGGAGGATGTGTCGGACCTTTGGGCATGAGTTTGCTGGATTATTCATTTAATATAATGAATTTGTCTGGTCCAGATGGTACACCTTTTTAGAACTTAACAAGTGGCTTTCTAATCAGATGTGCCACTAGAACAATTACTTGCTTTCTCCATGTTCTCAGGTGTTCAACTTGCTCCCAATTCGATCACTATCTGAATATCCATATGAAGTTGAGGATGAACAGGAGTGCCTAAATGTTCGACCCCGTCGGGCCATTCCTACAGACCAAGCCTACGAAACCTTCAAGGTATAAAACTGTCCATTGTCCTGTTTACTGGAATAACCTTCATCTTCAAATGTTTTTCTCTTGCTCTGACAGAGCATGGGGATGAAAGTTGCCACAAATTTGCCTATCAGAGTCCCTCAGTGTGTGCTGTACAGAGGCCTGAATTATTATCGTAACTTCTATTATGGTATGTCTGTTTCTTGCTCTCATATTGCCACGTGACTTGATGGATCCCTTAGGTTTATTTTAGTTGGTAGCTTCTGTGAGGTGAAACTGCAAACCATTTGGAAAAACTTTAATCTTTTGCTTTGTAAATGGCAAATTTAATAAGACGATTATACACCATGTAAAGTCACAACTAATCAACATTTCTTTCTACAACTGGCCTAACATGCACATTTGACACTGTATGAACCCTGGTTATTCTGCAGACACTAGGACTGTTTGTAGTAAAATTGCTGGTTTCTTTCAGTAGAGCATTATCGTCAACCTGTAGCCATGGCTATGGCTGGAATGGCTCCAGAAGTAGCAAGTGTTGGAGGTGACACTTCCTCTTCTGATGTAACTGTCAGGACTTACTTTCCAGAAACCTGGATTTGGCAGCTTGCTCAAGTGGGGTTAGTAAAACCTTTGTTTTCAAACTACTTTCCCACATATTTTGCTTCTCCTGTCCCCCTTCATTTATAGTTGTCCTTTTCTTCAGCGCAACTGGATCCACACGAGTTCCCCTCACTGTTCCTGACACCATCACCACATGGGAGACGGAGGCGTTCTGCCTGTCCTCAAAAGGTTTTGGTCTGGCTCCTCCTGCTCTGCTGACGGTCTTCCAGCCCTTCTTCCTGGAGCTCTCCCTGCCGTACTCCATCATCCGTGGAGAGTCTTTTGATCTGAAGGCCACTATCTTCAGCTATCAGTCCAATTGCATCATGGTCTGTCATGGTTTCTTTATATACTGTAATGGCTCTGTATAGAAGGTCATGTATCTGTGCTCTCTTTTCATTGACAGGTTAAAGTAACTCCAGCTTCATCCATGAACTTCACTCTTAAACCATATTCTGATCCATATTCATCCTGTATTTGTGCCAATGGGAGAAAGACCTTCAAATGGGCTCTCTCTGTGTCTGTTCTCGGTCAGTTTGAACAGTCTGTTAACAAATTTAGTTTTATTTTATTTTTATTTTTGCTTTTTTTTAAAAAAAACTTTTTTTAAAGTTTTATTTTTGCTCACTTTCTGTCTGTTGCTGCAGGTGCCGTCAATGTGACTGTCAATGCTTCAGCTGAACCATCCCAGACTCGATGTGGCGCTGAGGTCGTGACTGTGCCGACAAGAGGACGCATTGATGTAGTCACTCAAAGTCTACTTGTCCTGGTAAGGGTTACCAGCCTTCTGGAGTCTAGTCATGAAGCCCATGGTGCTTTACTGATGTGGTGTTGCATTTACAGCCTGAAGGAGTTGAAAGGACAAACACCCAGAGCTGGTTACTGTGTCCCAAGGGTTTGTTTGCACTTAATGATTCCCCAATACCTTCCTGTATAGCCAAACATTAGCCTAGCACTCAATGCTGATCCATTCTGTTTGGTCTGCAGGAAAAGTTCTTTCTGAAGATGTGACTCTGATGTTTCCAACAAATGTGGTTCAGGGATCAGCCAGATGCTCAGTTTCAGTTCTTGGTAAAACATTTCATGGACTAGAAACTGCCACAAATGTTTGGCAGAATACTTGTTCTGATTTGGGATTTTTATGATTTACATCCTTGTAGGGGACATAATGGGTCGTGCACTGAAGAATCTAGATGGGTTATTGCAGATGCCATCTGGCTGTGGAGAACAGAATATGATCATTCTTGCTCCAAATATTTACATCCTGCTGTACCTGGAAGTCACGGGCCAACTCACCACAGCCATCCGAGCAACTGCCATAGGCTACCTTCAGAATGGTATGGGCAAGGAGATCCGTTTAAAAAAAAAAGTGTTGAATACTAAAACTTGATGACTTGGTCTGACTCCATTCGAAGCCGTCAAGACTACGTTATACACTTCATACCCCTGATTTTATTTTTGAACAGGATACCAAGGACAACTAAACTACAGGCACAGTGATGGTTCATACAGCACATTTGGTTATGATGCGTCCAATACATGGTGAGTTTCATGCTGTTACTCTAGATGTGTAACCTTTTGTCAAATGGTTTGTTAAACTGAATTCCTTCAACCAGGTTGACCGCCTTTGTCATGAGGTCTTTTGGTCTAGCGAAGCGTTTCATCTTCATTGATCCGAATGTCCTTCAGAGTGCAAAGGATTGGCTAATAAGCCAGCAGGGTTCAAACGGTTGTCTCGTGCAACAGGGAACTTTGTACCACAATGACATGAAGGTACATGTGTTGTCAAATATACCTTAACCATAAACCAGTCAAGATTATTTTTAATCTATGTGCTGGTGTTTTAGGGTGGAGTTGGTGATAACGTGACCATGACTGCATACGTTGTTGCATCGCTGCTTGAACTAGGAGTTCCTGCCACAGTAAAAATCTCTCCAGTAGTTTTATGAGCTCCTTGCAAATGGTCTTCTGGCTGTTGTCTGATATCTGCTTTGCTTTCAGGATCCTGTCATTACCAACGCTCTGGCATGCTTGAGGCCCGTTGTTGGGAACCTGGGAAACACTTACACCACAGCTCTGCTGACCTACACCTTCAGTCTGGCTGGAGAGACCACCACTCGATCACAGCTTCTAACAACCTTGAACAACCTTGCCATTTCTGAAGGTAAGATACATCAGCCTCTTGTTTGTTGAAGTTCTTCGTCCTCAACTTTCTCTCATCCTAAGGCACGAAGCTCCATTGGTCTCAGACGACATCTGGTGATACTCTGGCGGTGGAGATCAGCTCTTACGTCCTGCTAGCGGTTCTCGCTGTTCAACCCCTCACAACGGCTGATCTGGGCTATGCTAACCGCATTGTCAATTGGCTCGTGACCCAGCAGAATGCCTATGGAGGCTTCTCATCCACCCAGGTGCCTCTGACTACCAAACATGTGTGCAATAAATTATGAGAAGTTTTTAATCTTGTGCTTGTTTTTAGGACACAGTGGTGGCTCTTCAGGCTCTGTCTGTGTACGCTGCTCAAGTGTTCAGCTTGGACGGCACCAGCACTGTAACCATACAGTCCTCAGTAGTAGGAGGAGACTCTTATAGCTTCAATGTAAACCGGGACAACCGTCTGCTGTATCAGGAGAAGCAGCTGAAGAACGTTCCTGGAAAATATAGTGTTAAAGCATCAGGATCCACTTGTGTGTCTGTGCAGGTATGAGTCTTAACCCCCTCTATTTCTGTTCTTTTGTGTGCATCAATCTGATTAGACTTGTCTGCCTTGCGCTCGTACTGTAGGTTGCGTGTTTCTACAACATCCCGACCCCCGTTAAAGACTCCAAGACACTGACTGTTGAAGCAAAGGTGACTGGAGACTGCCGACCTCTTGGTGCCAATCTTATGTTGAACTTCACGGTGAAGTAAGAACCGTTTTGGCTTTGTGTCCTGAAACCAGCTCTTGTTTGACTTCTTGAAGGATCCAGCATTGATTCTTTTGACCTAAATTTCTTTATTCCACATCACGTCATTCAGATACAACGGTGTAAAAGCAAGCACTAACATGGTTCTAGTTGATATTAAGCTCCTGTCGGGCTTCACAGCAGATACATCACCGGTTCGTATATTTAAGATTTAGTAAGTCCTAAGATGCTTGAAGCTCCTTCTGCTGTAACTGTTTGTAAATAATCTCTTTCCCCCAGCTGGGATCTCCACCCCAGTCGTTTGCCCCGCTAGTGGAACGGGTTGATGCTGAAGATGATCGTGTCCTAGTGTATCTGAAAGAAGTAAGACTGTACACTTGGTATATTCACTAGCTGCCATTTTTCTCATTCATCCATTCTGTCTCGCAGGTTCCCAAAGGCGTCCCCATGAGTTACACTCTGCAGCTGAAACAGGTTTTTGCAGTGAAGAATATCAAGCCAGCAGTCATCAACGTTTATGACTACTATCAGACAAGTACTCTTTCATCCTAATCATTAAATGATCTGGCTGAATTCACTATTGAACATGATCCGATTAATTGCATGTTCCTTTTTCAGGTGATTCGTTTGAGACGACCTACACGTCTCCTTGTCAGTGACTTTGTCTCCTTGTCTGTGACTTTATTCAGTACTGGCTGTAAGATGTTTGCTTAATAAAACTGCTTTCATTCAATCAGTTCTTTTGTTCCTCATCTGTGAAGATTTGAAGCAGGTTTATCTTCAGTGTTAATGAATTTTTGTCCTGTAACTTCAAATCCTTTCTTGGGCAGTGGCTTGTTGAAAGTGTGACCTTACGCTGCAATTTTTTTATTTTTAAAACGTGCCATGGTTGGAAAGTTTGTTTAATCAACTATTTTATGGAGGCATTTAGTTAGACAAATATCCAATGTAGTAATAAACCAAAAAGCAAATGGACAACCAGAATAGTTCAGTCATTATTCAGTGCTGTTGAATTGTGATTATATTAATAGTTGCTGTGGAGTACATGATGCCAATACTAGACTGATTAGCACAATAGAATGTACTGATTGTGCTAATCTGTGTTGTAAAGTTACTTGAAAATAGTAATTAGTTACTGACTACTTTTCCAAGAAAGTAATCTAGTTACTTTACTGTTTACTTATTTTCAAAAGTAATTAGTTACTTTAAGTTACTTTTCAAAAACATGATGCACAACCTGAATACGCTAAAACAACAGACCTTTCTGCCTATTTCTTTTCTTTCTGGATATTCCACCTCCATCTAAAATGTAATCAAATGAAATATTCTCCTTTTTAAACTTGTTTGTTCAGTTTTTCAATATTTTAACTTTATGCACATTGCATCAAGCAAATTTAATTAAATGCCTTAACACTTTAAAGAGACATGAATCTGACATTAATTTTTAAGTCCGTTGTTCATCAACATCTAGTTTATCATCCACTTCTACTCTTCCAGTCAAATGCATTATACACTTTTATGTACACTTTCTTTTCTTCTCTCGAGATATGTTGGCTCTTAGAAGTCACTAAAGAGAGAGATCTTTTTTGTCACCTTTACTTATTGTATTTGCTTCATGTATTTATTGATTAAACTCTTTACTCATTTTATCAATTTTGTCCTTTTTTCCTACTGATTCTGTTTGAATCAAGAACACTTTTATTTCTGGAAGCCACAAAGCATTGTTTGCTTATTGCACTTTTGACTTCATGTTTTAAATATCTAAAACATTTAAAACATGAAATGGATCTGCTGATGATCCTGAATGGCTTGTTGAGTGAGTGTTGATAGTCTGAGGCTCTTCGAGATTAATAGACCTGCTAAAAACAAACATGACAATAGATCCAGTTTTCACCTAATTTATTATGCTGATGTCTTCACATGTCCTGTAAATGGCCAGTTAAAGCTAATCTCAAAAGAGCCCATAAAGGGAGATGGTGGAAAATATTTGGGAGGGAAAAAGTAAAACTTTTGCATTCCCTCTCAAAACTTTTACGTTCCTTCGCAAAACCTATTCCGAGCTCGGACAAAGACGCCATGTTCAATGTCCCGCTGGAAATGTTTCAGAGATCCGTATGTCAACATTTATGGAGTTCCGTAAAGTTGCCAATATATTCACAGATCTGAAGTTCCAAGATCAATAACTCTTGAGCTAAATTTTGTTCAAACACAAATGCCAGCTATTTCCAAATTATCTCTATGAGCAGTGGAGAGTTCTTTTGAACCGGCTCTTTTTAGTGAATCGGTCGAACCAGTACACTAAATCGAACTGAATTGTTCGAAACAGTTCGCGTCTTGCGTCAGTGCTGATCCACAAGTTACTAAAGTTACTCACATTCAGACATGCCTGACAGTCCCTCCGAATCGAAATAAATCAATATCCTGAATTATATTTTACTCCAGTAACTCCAACAGTTCACTGAACCGAGACATGGTGCCACTGTTGAGAGAACTGATGAGCACGAGCAGCTGATACTGCGCATAGATACTGCATAGCCTACTACCGAACGCACAGGGACAGCGGTTCTCGAATCACTAGTATAGAACCGAGAACTGTTTCGACTGAGCTTGTGTGTTATCTTCGTGCCAGTTATTCAGCCAATAATGTGTAGGGCTGTATATTTAAACAAAAATTGTGTCTAGTAATATATTAATACAAATGTTTAATTGTCATCTTTTTTTCAAACGACCCGACCAACCGCGACCCGAATATCATTAAAAACATTTTTGGATGACCCGTTCTGCGGGTAACCGCGGGTGACCGTAGGCACCTGCTCATTTCGGATCAACCCACGCATCACTGATACCTACGGCTGCTTTTTCAGCCCTTAGTCTCATGTTCACTGCTTTACATGTATTGAACGACTGCTACAACTCCACAACAATATTTGAATGAAGAAGGAGAATACTTTTAGGGTTATTAGTTGAATGAGCATCAGTTAATTGATAGACAGACGTACATGATTTTATTGTCCTTTTGTATAAAAAACAAACTCACTGTGTTTGGCAGACCAGCTCCTCCCACATCGAGTTCGTCATCAGTGAAGCTCCTCCCACAGCAGTTACATGGTCAGTGAAGCTCCTCCCACATAAATTCCCCAATAAATGCTGGAATTCCCCTCAGCTACTAGTGAAGACAGCATCAGGAAGAGCTGAAATCTATTAAAGAGGACAGTGAGAACATGAGTGATCCAAAACCCTGCAGAATGAAACACACTGAAGAACAAAGAGGTTGGTGTTCATTCATTCATTCATTCACTCACTCAAGAAACATTCAAGCACTTCATCACATTAAGATATGCAGTTAAGGCAAGACACGGCAGACAAAAACATCGATTTTCATGCAGTGATCAGTTTTGAGAATTTGGGCTAACTTAGTTTACTCCTTCAATAAGTGTTCTTTCAAGCTGCAAAACGTCGAAAATATTAAATAAAATTTTTGTTTTATTACATTTAGTTTACCTGCGACAGTAAATTTCTCCCGAATTTACCAAGAAGTTAGCATTCCAGCGCGTCATCCCGCGCTCCGTCTGTTTACTGAAGTCAGTCAAGACGAACGGTAAGCTCTGATTCTCGTGCACAACGGTGTGTAGCCCAAATATGGGCATTTCCTTTCTATCAGTAACCAATCGTGAATGTCCAAAGGGTGGTCTAATGAGGAAACCTCATTGGCTACTGCTGGTTTCTGCTAACGTGATTCGCTCAGACGCATATAAATATAATGCAATATAAATGTATTAAATGCCCTACTTAAATCTTTAAATGCCTTTTTCTCAACCTATTTTTTTTTATCATTCTCCAATAGAAATATCTCAGCCTATGTAGCACCTAAGTACAATAAAATACATGGCGAAAATCGTTTTTTTTTTTTTTTTTTTTTTTTTTTTTTTTTAAGGGTATGGACAGTATATTTTGATTTTCAAGGTAATGAAAGCATATCCTGTAATCCCTCTGAACTTTTTTTTTTTCATCTTGTGTGTAAACAAAATGAAAAAGAATTTTGCACCTGGCTTTATCACATGTTCAGATCTATCTACCGAAAATAAATGTAAAATTGTGCATATTTAATGAGATAATTGCATAATTAAACATACAAATGTCAAGATTTTCAACAAATGGTCGATAAAGGGAGGAGAAACTTTCATATTGATTGTGAACATCAGATCAAACTAAAAATCTGGTCAAATTAGCTCCTTTCTTTTACACTTAGGCTATAGGTTTGACTTTTCTTTTGTTGTTTTGTAATCCCAATTCACCCCTTGGCCCTACACCTCCATTTTACGCGTTCACCCTACCTACGGGGTAGGGTGTACCAATTCTTGTTGAGGAGGGGAAGGGCGAAGGGGTAGGGCTACATAGCCCTCGAAACTGAGATTTTTCAGAGACACACTAAAGAGAAAGTTCACAGAATGCATCGCAAATCACCGGTGAGATGGCTTCACAAACAGTTAAAGAATTCAATTTAGCGCCAGATGATTCCACCACGCACTTTATTTACTCTTATAATAACACTATAGTTGTTTAAATTAAGAAATGGTATAATAAATTACCTTTCCCATCAGAAAAGACATACATTTCGAGGAAGGGATGTTATAATCATCATGTTTATTCAAAGTTAAGAGCAGCTGCGCTGATTGTCAGTTGTTGTCATGGAGAAATTCCTGTAAAAACTCGGTAACGGCAGAGCCATCGCCGACGACTGATGGCATTTCGGGTTCATGAAGGGTTGTTCCATTTCGTAGGGGAATATTTCAACCCCTTGGCCCTTGTAACTCTGTTTTAAGGGCCAAGGGGTACACTCGAAAACAAGGGGTGAATTGGGATTGAGCCTAGTCTCATTATTTGATACATTGAGTATCCTTACCCCTTTTAAAGAAGGGTGTGAAATAATAACTGATGGTTTTCTTAAGGCTGATGATCTGCTGAATTTAAAATGTGCTACAACTTCATGATTTCTTATATTCTGCGTCTGCTCTCTTCCCCATGGTAAACGGGTTGCATGTATGTATGTGTATGTATGTTAGAGTAGTTTAAATGTTTAGTCTAGTTAATAAAGTCTTGTTTATATCACACGTAAAGTTGTCCGTGTCTCAAGCTCATATCTGGAGTCACTAATCATACCGATTTTGACTTCTTGCTCTTAGTAGTACTTAGTAGAAAAGACGTTTCCTATGCCATGGAAATTTACATTTCTATTAATCAATCAATAACCAATACTGAGGGTTCACAGGATGAACTGAGTAATCAGGTGTAATGTTAAAGGACAACTCCGGCGCAAAATGAACCTTTGGTCTAATTACACATTGTTACCTAGTCAACCGTTATCTGAGATTTGTTTTCATGATTGCCGAATGTAAATAGTTTTAAAAACGCCGATCCAAGTGCGCTGGTGAGATGTGAATAAGGTGATAAGGTGAGCGCGAACAGTAGGCTACGTGTACATATTTAAGAGAAGAAAATGGTTCGTGTTTGTTTCTTCTGAAAACAACAGACCATATGATATTCTGCACAGTTCAGCGCACTTGGATCGGCGTTCGTAGATCAACTGGTAGAGACTATATTTCAAAGATGGCTTCTTCCTGTATTCACCAAGTTGACTATGTGTATAAAATATCTTCTTATTAAACTGTATGGACACAGTTCTCAATGCTTCGGTTTGAGTGGGACCCTTATTATGCTGTCGTGTTAGTGTGGGGCTATTTTGAGCCTTGTTAGTGGTAATAACAAGCGATTTTTATTTGTCATTACTCTATGCCCTATATACTAGCATTATACTAGCGTTATAGGCTAAACTGTTTTTACAGATAAAACTATTTACATTCGGCAATCATGAAAACAAATCTCAGATAACGGTTGACTAGGTAGCAATGTGTAATTAAACCAAATGTTCATTTTGCGCCGGAGTTGTCCTTTAATGTAGCTAGCTCAATTTAATCCGACAAACTGATCCAAATATTCAAAATCAATTATAACAAGTTATGATTGGTTATTCATATTTCTTAGAGCTCATTTCTAATTTTGATGTACTGTCAATGAAATTACACCTTTTTTTCCTTTCATTTCAGACCCGATGGAAGAGAACGAGGAGAGTGAAGAGGAGGAGGAGAGTGAAGACCTGAGTAAAGTGGAGGAAGAGACTGAAGAACCGAGTGAACATCACGTCAAACCAAACCTGGAGAAAAACCTTTGAGGCGCTCAAAGACTAAAGATACATTTTTAAAGAAAAGCCAAGAAATCTTTTACCTGTACTCAGTGTGGAAAGAGTTTCACAAGCAAACCATATATTAAACTTCACATGAGAGTTCACACCGGAGAGAAGCCGTTCACATGTGATCAATGCGGAAAGAGTTTCTCACAGAAACAAACTCTTGAGCTTCACATGAGAGTTCACACTGGAGAGACGCCGTTCACATGTGATCAGTGCGGAAAGAGTTTCTCACAGAAACAAACTCTTGAGCTTCACATGAGAGTTCACTCTGGCGAAAAGCCGTTCTCGTGTGATCAGTGTGAAAAGAGATTCTCACAAAAACCACATCTGATCGAACACAAGAAGATCCACACTGGAGAGAAGCCGTTCTCGTGTGATCAGTGTGGAAAGAGATTCTCACACAAACAAACTGTCAAAGGTCACATGAGAGTGCACACCGGAGAAAAGCCTTTCCCATGTGATCAGTGTGACAAGAGCTTCTCACACAAACAAAATCTCAAAATTCACATGAGCGTTCACACCAGAGATAAGCCTTTCGCATGTGATCAGTGTGACAAGAGCTTCTCAAACAAACAAAATCTCAAAAGTCACATGAGAGTTCACACCGGAGAAAAGCCATTCACATGTGGTCAATGTGGGAAGAGTTTCACACACAAAAGCAGTCTTAAGTGTCACATCAGGGTCCACACCGGAGAGAAGCCGTTCTCATGTGATCAGTGTGGGAAAACATTTCCTAGGGCATCACAACTGAAGGTACACCTGACAGTTCATATGAAGGAGAAGCCGTATTCATGTTCTGTGTGTGGAAAGAGTTTTTATCAGCACCACATGTTGCTCAACCATGAAAAAATACACACTGGTGTGAGAGAGTACATGTGCTTTGAGTGTGAGAAGACTTTTATGACAGCGCGCTGTTTAAAAAAGCATCAGCGGATTCACACTGGAGAAAAACCTTACAAGTGTTCACACTGCGACAAGAGATTCACTGTGTCAGAAAATCTGAAAACACATGAGAGGATCCACACTGGAGAAAAACCTTACAAGTGTTCACACTGCGGCAAGAGATTCAGTCATTTAACAAGTGTGAAAACACACGAGAGGATCCACACTGGAGAAAAACCTTACAAGTGTTCACACTGTGGCAAGAAATTCGGTCATCCAACATGTCTGAAAAGACATGTGAGGATTCACACATGAGAAACCGCACACATGTAAGACTTGATTTTCCTGCTGAGCTGAGATGAAACTCACCCTGCAATAAAGTAAATAAAATAAACCCTGGACAGAAGAACTCAAAGGAGAAGAAGATGACCGTGACCTGTCCAAACTTTTCTCCAACGTTGGGCAGTATGATTAGACCGAAACAACTCTAAACAAAATTTGTACAAGTCTGAGTATGTAAGGGTAAGTGGAAGAGCAGTCTTCAGGAAATCCCCAATGCAGTGTGTGTCAGTGTTTTCTCACACACCACTGTGTATCTCTGTCAGGAATGCATTTCTTACTCTTGGAGTCATCTTTGTCATGTATTTAGTATTTCTGAATTGGCTTTTAATCATTTACTTGTGTAATTGGGATGATACAATTTTACCTGACAAATAAAATGATATATTTGAATCATTCTGCATTTTTCTGGAATCATTATTCCTAGCACACTGTTAGACCTCACCAGGTTTTTTTTTCCAAAGTAAAATAATGGCAACACTGTTGCCAGTATTTTAAGGTTAATTATACACTGTACAAAAAAAATATTGTTGGTTTAACTTAAAAAGTAAGTAACCTGGTTGCCTTAAAAATTTAAGTTGATTAAACTGGAAAAAGTGAGTTGATGCAATGAAGGAGATTAATTTAATCATCAGAAAGTCAAAATAATAAGTTATCTCAACTAAATAAATAATTTAAGTTGATTTGACAAAAGAAAAAATGTTGTGATAACAAATCTTGAAAAATTGTTTTTTAGTTATTTACTGCAATCTACAGTATGTTACTGTACTAATGCACTAAATTAAAACTCAACTTGTTTCACTTGCAGAAACGGACTGCCTTAAATTGACCAACTGTTATTATAAATGTATTAACTAAAATATATAATATATTAATAATGTGAGCGAAGTATTGCTGTGAACCACTAAAAAAACTATTGAACATAAAGAGATTTCCACTGGACCAGAAACTACACATGCACTGCTTGTTAAATAAAGCAATATGCAGCATATCATCAATGTTTTTAGATCTTCTCCTGGACTGAAGAACTGGACTTCATTCAAAATGAGCTGTTTGTGTGGTTACAACACCCTGTTTCCGAAAGGTTGTGGAGTTTAAGGCTTTTTTATATTTCCATCAGAATAAACTCAGGATTAAACACAAATTATGATCATCATCCCAAGCATAGACCCTAGACATGCGGCGCAAGTGTTATTTTATGTTTGAATAATAAGCCTGAGTGTTATTTATTAGTGGAGACCGTTTTCAAAATTTTTTAGCCAGTCATTCCCATAGACAGCTCATTCCAGTTGCATAGCTCGCCGATGCTAGGCTTGCGTGAATCAATTGTAACTGCTAGCCTGCCATTAAAAACATTTTACCCACCCCAGTACACCAAAAGCAAATAAATTATAACGCCAGACTATTGATGTAAATGTCTGTTGAGAGAATAATGTTAGAAATCAAAACTACTCTTTCATTACATTGCAACCGTTTCTTTTTTTTTTTTTTTTGTTATATTTAGTTAAATAGTTCATTTATTAGCAGTCTACAGCAGCAACGGATTGATACGTAGTTACCTAGGCAACCGAGAGAGGTAGTTTTTTAAACTAAAAATAAACTGAATTGTTTTTTTATGTCATTGTTATGTCTATATAAAATTCAATGAATCAATAAATCAATGTTTGTTTTGAAACACAGTTTGTTGTTTATTTACAATACAATGTTCACGGTTACATCATTGATAATCACCAAAACAAACTAGCAAAGAGATTCGCGAACCACACCTCCCCCTAGCGTTCTGGCGGTGAAATGCACCGCGATGCAACACAACCTGATGCAGAAGCATAAAACGGCCATATGGCGCCGGTGGAGTTGACGCATAAGCATAATGAGGCCTTAACCAGAGCAAAGTAAAACTCTGCCGCTGCTGAGAAACTAGTTCCTTTGGGATCACTGAGATGCAAGAGTAGTTTGATTTTTAACATTATTCTCTTAAAAGACATGTACATCGATAGTCTGGCATCATAAGTTATTTGGTGTACTGTGGAGTGGGTAAAACTATTTTTTATGGCAGGCTAGCAGTTACCGTTGACTCACACTAGCCTAGCACCAGTAAACTATGCAACTGGAATGGTTTTTTTAAAACTGTCTCCACTCATAAATAACACTAAGGCTAACATGGAAATGAGGCCCGATGTCCAAAATCCTGAACCTTAAGCTGTGGTCAGCAGGCGAAAAAATTAGTAGGGCCTATATAAAGAAACCGAAACTAAACAGAGCGTAGTATGCCTATAGGCAAAACATAAAATAATGTCAAAATAAGGGTCCACATAATATAATACCAGATCATAAACCTACATTTAATTTTAACTTTGAGCTCTACTTTACAAGGCTAAGCTGATGCATAACAAAGATCAATCATGTGATGCAGACGAGCGTGTGTTTCAGAGTTGGCAACCCTGTGATTAATTACCAGGCTCCGCCCTAAAGACGTCCTGATTGCCTGTGAGTGATGAATCAACCTGTTCTGAATTATTAAGAGCGTTTAAATAACACTGGCATCAGTGCAGCTGATTTAGAGTTAAACTGTAGAACAGTGTGGATGTGCAGGGTTTGTGAAAGAGACTCTTGATTTCTGTCTAGTCTTGGATGATTGCTCTTCATGGCTGTGAGGGAGATTTGTGTTTGGAGAGGGCTCATTTTAGCCCTTTTCCTCTTTGGTGTTGATGGACAGAAAAGGCCGTAAGTGCTATGGGCTTGAAGTGAAAAGTGGTCTAATGTTTAATCTATGCAGAATGATGCAGTTTTAAAGATGGCAAAATGAAGCACCAAAGCATAAACCATTTGGATAAAGTTCATCACGTTGTAGTTTTTCTCATCAAGTGGTCAAAGGATGAGTGGGACCCAACTGCTTTTCTTTAACACTTGTGCTGAGTTCTGAGTTCTTGCGCTGTTGGGGTTATTGTTCCTCAAATATATTTCTGAACAAAATGGCCGTCTTGTGCTCATGTTTTGTGACCCTAGCACAGTTGCCAAATCAGTTTGATTTTCCCATGTTTTTTTTAAAGGTTTGTCCCACCAAGACAACCAACCTGTGTTTGTTACTTCAACCCACTCACTGATGGAGAGAACTGCTTTGGCCCATTTTTGTTTGATTGGCTGTTAAGCTTGTTTTGATGCACAGGCCTATAGCAACCCTGTGACGGCCACTTTCTGTGAATGTTCAATCAACATGTAAATAATCTGACCTGATTTCCTTTAGTCTCTGAACCTAAACTTCATGATGTTTCCACAGGTTATTTATGGTGACGTTCCCTGCAGTGATTGAATCTGGATCTAATGCCAAATTGTGTGCAAGTCTTCTGAAACCCCAAGAAAGTCTCACAATGACTGTTTCACTGCTTAATGACAAAAGGACGACTCGACTTGTGCAGCAAGTTTCTTCAAAGCCATTTCACCGCTGCTTTAGTTTCCAGGTTTGTTATCACAAGACATGGCTTTTTTTTTTGCCTGATTGTGTAGTTAACTGAGTTTCCCTACAGGCTCCTCGAGTAGATGGAGAATCTGTTCAGATGCTGAAGGTAGAAGTTCAAGGGAATGTCTTCAGGGCGTCTGATGAGAGGAAAGTCCTGTTTAAACGTTACTTGCCTTTGACCTTCATCCAAACAGACAAACCCATCTACAATCCAGGACAAACGGGTGAGCTGTGAATGAGCCTTGGTTGAATATGAGAGGTGTAGAAAGTCCATTATGGTATAAGTTCTGATCTTTAATCGCATAATGCACTTGTGTGTTTATTGCTGTTTTTACAGTGAATTTCAGAGTTGTCACCATGGATGCCAAATTTGTGCCTCTTGATCAGATGGTAAGGATCAAATTGAACAAATGCAAATTTATTGTTGGTTATTTTTACTTGCACAGTTTTGCAGTTCTCTTCAATGACTGCTGCAATATGTTCTTTTAAATGCTTAATATTCCCGTCTTTGTCTTTCAGTACAATCTGGTGGTGGTGGAGGTGAGAATTTGATCTGGTCCGAGTCTTTGAATGGAGCAGCTGCCACTTTGTTCATTTTGTTTGCCGTTTTTATGAGCTGTTACTGTTTTAATAGGACAATAACAATAACCGGATTGGTCAGTGGACAAACATTTCCTCAACGGACTGGATATTGCAGCTTTCTCACGAGTTAAACCCAGAGGCTCAGATGGGGATGTACACATTAAAGGCTTTTATTGGTGAACAAACAATCTCCCATGTTTTTGAGGTGAAAAAATACGGTAAGTTGTTGTGAATATGTGCAACAGTACAACGACAGACTTGAGGTATTACAGCATTTAATTTTTTGTCTTAGTTTTGCCCAAGTTTGATGTGACCGTAAACACACCACAGATGTACAGTGTTGGAGATGTGGGACTGAAAGTTGAGGCTTGTGCCAAGTGAGTTAAACATACAGATATTTATTATCTTGTGGTTGGGTAATTTTTGACTTTGTTGTTCCTTGTGGTGTTTCTCAGATACACATATGGCCAACCTGTACCTGGCCAAGCCTTGGTGGAAGTGTGCCGTGATCCCTTTCCATACGCTGCGGTTCCTGATTTGACCCGTCGTTGCCTGACTAAAACTGCAAAGGTTTGACTCCTGCCTTACAGTGGAGGGTTTTTCTTGTGCTTGAATTTAATGTGACTCTTTGTTCTGCTACCAGATGAACGCCACTGGCTGTGTCTTCCTAACTGTCGATACATCAGTGTTTTTTGGCACCAAATTTGAAAATAATATGCAAGACACTTTTTTTGTAAGTGTGAACGTCACTGAGGAGGGAACAGGTGAGCTATTGGCTGCTCTGAACCAATGTCATGTGAATGAACAGGATTGGTTTATTCAGTTTCTTTCTCTTCTTCAGATGTAGTGATGTCAAAATCTGCAACAGTGTCCATTACGTTTGAAGTTGGCAAAGTCAAGTTTGTGGACATCCCGGAATATTTTGAACCTGGATCAAAGATTGATGGAAAGGCAAGTACATTTTTAATCCCTGTTGCAGAAGCCTTCACAATGGTTTGGAAGATCGAGGGTTTTCCATCTCTGCTCCAAGGCTTTGGAATACTTTACCTATTAGCTTAAGACAAGCTCCATTTCTTCTGACTTTTAAAATCCAGATTAAAAACTTAATTTCTAAGACTTTTGATTAACACTGGATCTTGTGTTATAAGGGTTATGTGATTTGTATTGTTATGCATTTTAAACTTCCTTTGAGCTTTAAGGGTTTTTTGTCACTTAGAACGTGGCTATATTGTGGAAAGCACATTGGTCAAAAGTTGTTTTAAATTGTGTTATACAAGTGGTCATTGGTTCCCTTTCCTAATCTTGATCATTCCCAACAGATATCAGTGTCTCGTTTCGATGGTACTCCAA